ACACTCGTTTATTAAACACTCGCTCCGCTATGCTCCGCTCGTGCTTAAAATACTCGTTACTAAAAGGACGTTTATAACACTTGTAACATAATATACTATTATGTACGTGGTATCAACGTGTTCTTTGAAAAATACTCTTCTCATAAATAGTAATGAGCCACCCCAGTTCTACTTGAAAAAATTGAGTCAACATCATAATAATTAAGATATTGTGAATTTTGAATCAACCTGTGAAACAAATGGAAAGTAAAACTTCATCGAAACTATTTTTCCATGGCAGCTTGATTCAAAATCAACTGTTTAACTCATCCATGACACTCCAGATTGAACATTGAAAATGAAAATTTCAGGATGATGAATGTCTAGAAGTGGCAAACGGAGTGTCATTGTACTCACAATGATATATTCTCTATCGAAATGTGTGAAAATATACCAGGTGTCCCATTTCAAAATGAGAAAATAAGGGTCATTTCCGGAAAAACCAGAAGGGACAAAAAACAATCGAATACGTCAAATAATGCACATTTATTTATTATACTCACACCCCAAATGTCATTTGTTCATCTGTGGAAACAAAAAAGTTATAGGCCACTAAGCAAATTTGGAAGCTATGTTGATGCAAGGTTGTAGCAATTACTGAATCGGACGTTCAGCAATATTGCAAATGTGAATCGGTAAATGTAACGTTTCAGCAATATCACAGCAACAGGTGATATTCCTGCAACGCTACATTATTAAACTTCACCTCTGCAATATTGCCGAATGTCCGTTTCAGCCATTGCTTCAAGATTGCATCAACATAGCTTTCAACTTTGCTTAGTGGGAGGGTTGAGTCAATTTTGAGAAACACCCGGTATAAAACACAGCTTATACTCAATCAATTCAAGGAGAAGGAACTAGGAACTCACAATAAATTCACATGTAAAGCACATTCCTACAGTATAAATGCCACAGTGTTTCGAAGAGGAATTCCAATTGGAATCTGATTATTAATCAGAGTTCATCACATGAATTCCACGCTATTTCAATAAGGAATTCCAATTAGAAACATGTAATGAATCTATCTGGTGCTGAAATACAATTCTGTTCTTGTCCATGAGTTCGTAAAGCACTGCTATCAGCAACTGAACACTATTGTTTCTGCAGAATACAGTTTAAACTCATAAAGTTCGTGAAAGACTATGCTATAGTAGGGCCTTCTCATGAATGTACAGAGTGTCTCTGTTATATTTAAACTCTCACCTACAGCTTTTACTGTAGGTACAATCTTTTGGTACTTCTCGAACGAACAGATGCGAATCGCAAAATGATGAAAAAAGGCACATTTTTTTTAAATGAAACACCCTATAAAGGTATTCACTCTAGTGGTAGTTTTTTTCTGTTCACGAATATACCGGGTGTCCCACTATACCTGTTCCAATGGTTTATCTCAATCATTTCGAAAGTAACAAATTTGAAAATGTCATGATCTCCAATTCGTTCAAGGAACCTTCAACTGAAAAAAACGAAAACTGAAAGTGACTGAAAGTGACGGAAGTGACTCTAACTTCTTCATTTCAAATAGCACCCTGTATGTTCTCTGCAATTTTTGCTTTCTACTCAAAATTACCTTTCCAACGATGTATCACACTTTGTATTTTACAATTGATTTGATAGAGAAAACGAAAATTGAAATTTGAAATCGAAAGAATTGCAGTAGACAACGATATTTTGTGTACATAATGATTTGTTCGTCAATAATTGATGATTCATGAACAATTTTGCATCCGAGATGATGAAGAGAACGTCAAATTTCAAATTATTATAGAAATATGTAGTAGAACTGGAAGAATTAATCATTCTTAAATGAAAACCTTAGTGTGCCATGGAAACATTTGAATACATTTGTTGTATCTTCGACAGTTAATAATTCTCAATGGTTGTGTGCGACATTCAAGAATGAATAACCGTGAAAATGATATGATATAACTTCACAATTCAAGAGAAATTGGATATGATACTGATTTTAATTCCAAATTTCAATTTGTCGTTTTCTTCATCATATCAAATGTAAAATACAAAGTGTGATACATTGTTGGAAAGGCAATTTTGAGTAGAAAGCAAACATTGCAAAAAATATACAGGGTGCTATATGAAATAAAGAAGTTAGGTTCTTAGGACTTTCAATTTTCGTTCCTTGAACGAATTGGAGATCATGAAATTTTCAAATTTGTTACTTTGGAAATGACTGAGATAATCCATTGGAACAGGTATACTGGGACACCCGGTATAAAGTTTACTTATGTTTCCTCGATCCATTTTCCACCTGTGCCACCAGCATTGAATCAAAAGTTGTGAATGATATTTAGATTGCTGTGGACACAACAGAATAGAGGTATAAATTGCCGAATAGTGAGATTATTATTCTATGAGAATATTGAAAAAATGTCAGTTGTGCAGCAAGAATTCAGTCAAAAACGGCTTGCAGGAACATTAGCAAACTATATATATTTCAAAGCTATTTGAATCCCCTCTGCCAAATTTGCCTTTGCTGTTTTCCTCTTCCTATCATAAGCCAAGGACAAAAAGTTTGAAGATAATTCAAACCAAAGGATTGGCTTTATTGAGAAAAATCATCATGATATCACAATATGACAAATGTCACAACTAAAACTATAAACTATATTAGAATGATTCATCACATTCTCCACAGATTATTAGTAACGCTGATACAACTCTTAATATTTTGGTGCTCCAATATTTCGCCTCGGTCGTGAAGTTATCTTGGAATTCCTATCAGAAGGAATCATATGAGGGTTTGCATTTTCTTCAAGTGCTGTTTCTGATGGATGATTCGAACTTCCTGGTATCTCATCAGAATAAATTGTAACTGGAATTGCATCTTCTTGGAGAACATCTTCTGATGTGTCAGAATTTTCAGGTAGCATCTGACTCCCTGATATATCGCGGCTTCCTTCAGGTTTTTCTTGATGATCATCAGAAATCGGCTCATTATATTTTTCATTCATCTTCTCTTCCCCATTCCAGGAGCTAGATGTCGGTTGGAAATGGTGATCTTCAATTCAGAGTTGCGGCCATTGAATAAAGCATCTGTCTCTGACGGCTCATAAATAAGGCAACAGAGGCTAAGAAATTCGAAACTCACTCAAGGTGATTCAAACTTTCTATGATGAATCATTCAAATATAGTTCATAGAACATGCTGTATTTGTACATTTTTCATATTGTGATATCTAAATATATCTTTCATTTTGATCTATCGCGGAAATCAATGTTACCAGGTGGCGCTCGGTTTTCATTGTTCCATGTCAAAGCCACGTCAAAACTGGGGGAAAACAAACTCAATCCTCACTCAATCCCATTAGTGCCATTAGCTTGTGTGTACTGTGTACTGATAAGAGTGATAAGTTTTCAAATTTCCTGACATTAATTGTCAATATTCGATCGAAAACGCCTGTTGTAGATGTTCTTCTGCCAGATATTTTACCCTATTTAGATGGAAAAAGCCGACCAGTAGTGGAAGGAGAAGCAGTTCTCCGTGCTGATCATGTGATTTTGTGTGAGGCAGAAGCGAGGGCAGAAGACTTCAACAAAAGGCAAGTTGGGGTCCAGAGGAACTCCTGTAGAACAATGGATTTGTATTGCTTGCAGGAACATCTGGGTATTGTAAACATGTTGTAGCTGTTCTTTTATATGGCAATTTGATTTGCTCGTCATAATTAGTTTGAATTGTTTGAACTATCTTCAATTCTTCACCCGTTCACTGTTCACTAAACTAATAAAAATGTAATAATGTAAAAAAATTAACCAACTCAACCATCATCACTACCAACAGTGCCAACACTTTATGTCATCGACAAGTTTGACTACAGTTACAGCAAGCTGAATGCATTATAGTCCATGCACTTTATCCATAGACAACAGTTTGTTTTCCCCCAGTTTGAAGTTCGTATTATGTAACCTAGATGTCGGCCACTTCGTGAATCTCGCGAATAAATTGTGAAGATAACTCAAAGCAATACAAGGGATTGGCTTTATTGAGCAAAATGATAGACATATCGGAATATTACAATATGACAAATGTCACAACTGAAAGAACATCAGCATGTTCTATAATAGTTATTTATGCAACAAGTGCAAAAAGTGAATGTTTATTGCATTCGACGTGAAATTGTCCAACGAGGCCGTTAGGCCGAGTTGGACAACACGTCGAGTGCAATAAACAATTTTTGCACGAGTTGCATACAACATTTTTTCTACGTTCATGCAAAAAGCAAAAAATGATTTATTGAGGTGCGGCACTAGGTACAATTCTGTTAATTGTCAGAATTATTTCTTGACTGACGTTTCTATAACCACAGTTGCATTATAGAAAATGTTTGTCATGATGACAGCACGTTGAAGTAGAATGACAGATGAGTGCAATAAAAACTTTATTGCACTAAGTGCAATAAAGAACTTTTTTTTCCACTAAATATAGTTCAATAAAGTTCTGTTTTTTGCATGAATGTAGAAAAACTATATTAGAATGATTCATCACAGTAAGTTCGAATCAACTCTTGTACATAGTGAATTACTTGAGGAGGCTTAGCCTCAGTTACCTTCTTTAGAAGACGTCAGAGACAGATGCTCTATTCAATGGTCGCAACTCTGAATTCTAACTCAAATAAATGCTGGAATGGAAACAATAGACTAGGCACGTTTTCAAAACCCAACAATGCAAGAAGCATTTCATGTAACAATTAGGGAAACAACGTTTTTAGGGTATTTCGACCCCGCTGAATACGAATCTGCCTGTTGACAAAGCGAAATTTGGACCGGAAGTCCGGTATTCAAGATGTCGGCCGAGATGGTGGTCAAAACTCTGTTGCCCCATATCTCCCATGTCCGTTGGCTTGTAATAATGATTCAAACATTTGCTCAGGGGTTTTTTCAGATGCTTGGTACATTGCAGTGCTTCAAATTTACTTACCTCCAGTTTGGAGTGCATGGGCTTCAAGAATGCCACCGAAGGAATTAAAGATATTGCAGGATTGTGAAAAGATAATGACAAAGAAAATCGTCCTAGTGTCGATACCTGGAGGCAATAATACAAAAATGAGGAACAAATTAAGATTTTTCGGTATGGCTGCGGAAGCCTCTTCTTGAGCCCTGAGTGACCCGGTGAATATTGCAGCTCTCCTCTAAGAAGAAGCGCAGCATGGACAAGAATTGAAAAATCATCATCGAGCCTTCCTGTGATGTTCTTGTTCAAGGGCTGGAAGAAGAAGTACGAGTCCTTGATGTTGTTTTGCAATTTATCTTTAAAAGTTGACAAGCGCAATTCGAATGACTTCGGTATCTCAACGTCGATTGTTCTCGCCAGGTGAACGTATCTTTCCCAAACATCTGAGAGTTGCAAAACGTGACCCAGTGAGGCAGGGACTTTGAGCTCTCCGCAAATTTGGATCATAGGTGAATTACTTTTGCCAGACTTCTTCATCTGCATCTGTATTTTATTCTGGATCCTCTTGGCCTTCACTATACACAGACTGTGATATATCACTTCAGATGCTATCAAGTACAGCAAACAATTGATGCGAAAGAACAGTTGGTGGTCATAATCAGCCAGCATTCTTATAGTCTCATTCATTGGCTTTGACATCACCTGCCTCAGTGCTTCGCTTTTATCGCGTTGGCAAAAAACACACTTGCTAATCTCGACACAGTCAGTCCGAGCCCTGGTGACGGATCGAGATGACGACGGTTCTCTAGCAGCACATTCCGCCTCTTGTGAAGGCGCTGATTTGTTCTATAACCCTTCCAATCGTCCGGAATTGGCAAAGTTCGAGTAAGATCCGCGGTGGTACTAAAATTTCTCGTCACTATTTGTCAGCGTTTGTTCCATCCTAACCATAGTGGCAGCAAAATCAACATCATGGAGCTCTTTCCCCAAGCCTGCGTACTTCAGAAGAGTCTCTTTGCCGTTATCCGTTAGATCTGATAATTTGTCCTTTGAACATTTTCTCTTCTGGCAGATAATGCATAGGTTGTGGTTGGACGTTACAGCCACTAATAAGGAGCCCACCGTTGACGCCACATCCTGTAACAACCTCCAGTAATACAATTCTGTTACCACATCGTATTTTGAAAGCTGTATGGCTTGAAAATTTTCTTGATTGATAAAGATATGAAGGTCAGATTTGTGTATTCCCTAATAATTAGGCATCTCGACTGGCACAAGTACTAGAGGATACACAAATCTGCCTTCCATCAAGCCATAATATGTGACAAATACAGTAGTCCACGTATTAGGTATACATTCAACCACTAAAAACTGTCTATCTTCAGATATGGCACTCGGAATACTAGAACACGTAAACATCAAAGTTTCGGCGACCATCTTGGTCGCCATTTCGGAACCCACGCACTCTAGGCTTAGGGGTTCAATATGATAAGCATCCGAGAAAATCACTAAGGTGTCGTTCAAATCAATATTGTAAGCCAAGCGAAAATAAAAATATAAGGGAACAGAGGTTTGTAGGCTATCTTGGCCGCCATCTTGAATACCAGACTTTCCGTCTAAATTTCGCTTTGGCAACAGGCAGATTCGTATTCCGCGGGGTCGGAATACCTTTAAAACATTGTTTCCTCAATTGTTACATGAAATGCTTCTTGCACTTTATAGAGATGGATTTCCTGCTTATGGGCCTACACTACAATTTCTTCCATGTAGAACCGTAAAATGGAGCGAATAGAAACAGCTATGGAGGATTTGTTGAGAAAAATCACAAGTTTCTCGAATCAAATTGTTGAAATTTCGAATCCTAAGTGGTTCAAACATCACATTATATGTGACAACATTACAGTGAATTTCACTAATTTGCAACACTCTTTGTTCATTCTTATAGTCGAACATTTATGATCGTGGCACCTGATGTGCATTGCTAAATGTATGTACTAAGGAGAGGAAAAATCAAGATATGTTCTAGCAAATTGGTTCAAACATACCTTGATAAGCCACATCAACATATTTGCAATCAAAATTCTAGAATATCAAAAAGTGTTTATCACATATTCCAGCAAATACGACATACTAGCGATTCAATGGCCCATTGATTTGATCAATGGCATACTGCTGGCACTATTTTTCTGTGATGGGAATGAACATGTTCATTGCTGTTTACATCATATAATACGTATGTCGCACTTGCATTGTACTGGTACAATAGTGTTTTTCCTGTGGATAAGGAAAGTATCATTTATACGGGATTGAGGAATCAATGAGTATAACAGAATGAGACTCACATATCGGGTGGGTGAATCTCACATTTTGGGTAGGTTGAATTACATTTTTGGTAGTGAATATCACATTTCGGTTAGGTAAATTTCACATTTCAAGTTGGTTAATATAACATTTTAGGTTGGTAAATATCACATTTTGGGAAAGTAAATATCACATTTCGGAAAGTCAATATCGCATGTCATATAAGGAGACACCCAGTACATCTCTCATCAACAAAATGTTGGCATTGAGAAGGAATATTCTCAGATATATTTATGAAGACAAAATGATGGATATACCGGGTGACCCGGAACCAATTTACCTCCCTATATCATTTAAGCAACAATAATTCAATCTTCCACAGCATACTTTCATGAAAATGTTCCGTTACGAGGGGAACACAAAAAGTATTTTTTTAATAAAATGTCAATTATACCAGCAGATTGTGAATTGAAAGTATGATTGTGATATGTCATTGTAAAGGTAATTCTATACCGAATTGTAATTTTCAAAAACAAATAATACTTCCTATTCGAAATATAAAAATTGGATGCGCTTCCGGTCGAACCGGAAGTGACATATTTGGATTGATACTTGCTAAATTGTACATTCATAACATCAAATCGAAGTACCGAATTTGAAACAACTATACAAAATCACAACGAAGATACAGGGGGGTAAATTGGTTCCGGGTCACCCATGTATATAATATAAAGAAATACAGTGAGAATTCGCATTCTCCATGTGATGAAAATATTATTTCTTTCTCGGTTTGATCAGCCTAAAACAACTACTTTCCTGGCTATATGCCACGACGAATATTGAATTACATCTATTGAACACACACGCCAAGAATTTGAAAACGAAAACTTCTGAAGTAGAGAATTTGCATTCTCCTTCACATAAAGATATGCATATAATATCGTTCTGAATATTCAACAGAAAACAACTACTTTCCCGGCTATTTTCCACGTCGAACATTGAATTATATCTGTTGAATATTCAAGAAGAAAGCAAAAAAAAATCAAAATCCTCTAAAATTGAGAATCGATATTATCTCTCTAACCGAATAGAATAAACAATATGATGTTTTATGATATAAAAATATTACTTACCAATATGTTCAGTATTGAAATGAAAATTGTAATGTATAGGAGAAGTATACTTGTATGAACTGTGATCTTGATGAGCTTGGAACTTCCAAAAAAATCCTTCGTATCAGTGATATGGAAATTATATCTCTTACGGACAAGTTATATGACTTTAACTCGAGTTGAACTCATTTCGGATATCATATCATCATCAGTAACCTGAAGTCCAGTTATTCTTTCAGCCATTCTTCATGATAAACACAATTTTAATGATGCAGGTCGTCAAACTGAGGTCTTCGCCATCACTCACGGTCTAGAACAACAAGTCGAACTACCAACCCGCATTCCAGATGTCAACAACCATCCTGCCAATACACTAGATCTTCTTCTCACCAGCAATCCTGATCCATATAGAATAGAAGTTTGTGCCCCACTGGGAAACTCTGACCACACCCTCATCTCCACAACCTGCTCTTTCCATGTACCATCCAGCACCATAATTCCTACCCGTCTCAAGTGGCAATATAATTCTGCCGACTAGGAAGGTCTTCGTATGTTTCTCAGCGTTCCCATGGAAGAGAGTTTGTTTCTCCTCAGCAGATCCAAAACGTTGTGCTGAGACAATTTCTGAAATATCAGGTTAGGAATGCAAACTTACATACCAAACACTGCAAGGAGGACATTTTCCAATTAGGCCTGGTTCAGTAACAACTGCTCTAGAACTGTCGCTTCCAAACAGGCAGCATTCCATCGATGGCAGAAAAATCCAGGCTCTGAGACTAGACCAGAATATGTCGAGGCTAGAGGCATATGAAATGAGACAATTCGATCATCAAAGGATGCTCATAATGCCAAAATTAGATCAAAACTTGTTGAATGCCCTAACGGATCCCGTTCATTTTGGTCCTTCGCCAAGCTGTAGGAAGAAACTTCACTTTCAGCTCGTTTCCCCCTCTAACCAAGGAAGATGGAACACTAGCCTTAACTGCCCTGGAGAAAGTCAACATTTTTGCGCATTTATTTGCTGGAAATTCCACTCTGGATTCATCGGGAAAACAACCTCCAAACATAACGCCAATTGGCAGTCATATGCCCGAGATCACCTTCTGCCAACGTACTATGAGCAAGATTTCATTGGGTCTCAACACCAAGAAAGCTTGTTGCTCCGACGGAATCCCACCGATTTTCCTCAGAAAATGTGCTCCCGAACTAACACCAGTTCTCTGCAAGTTGTTCAACTATTCTTATAAATTGGGGATATCTTCGTCCAACTGGAAAATTGCAAGAGTACAACCAGTTCCTAAAAAAGGCAGAGAGACCCTATCTAGCAACTACAGACCGATCGCACTGCTATCTATTATTTCGAAACATCGAGCTCATGAAATACCTGGAACATTCAGGTATTATCAACGATAGGCAATATGGCTTCCGTCATCAGAGATCAACCGGTGACCTGCTCGCTTACGTCTCCCATATATGGCAGAAATCTATTGAAACATATTTTGAATCCTTAGCCGTGGCACATCATATCTCCAAAGCATTCGATCGAGTCTAGCATCACGGACTCCTCCATCAATCCATCCGCCAAGCTTCCATCTTACGGCATGCCTCCCCAGGTATGTTCTCTGCTAGCTAGTTTTCTCTCAAATAGGTCTCTACATGTAGTGGTCGACGGAGTTTCATCTGACTCTCTTACCATAAATGCTGGTGTTCCGCAAGGATCAATTCTACACTGAGAAAAACTGGTTAATTAAAACGTCTAGTTGG